TTTTTTCTTAAAGATTTAAAAAGATATATTTATAAAAATATTATTTATAAATAGAAAGATTTTTATTTATTATAATAAACCTGCAATTATAAAGTTGATTCACAGAAGATTGACGCAGCAATTATTATTATAATATATAAATGTTTATAAATCTTTATTCTAATTCAAAAAATAAAATATGTAAAATACATATGTCACATATAAGTAATATTCAACGTTGCATTTATATCAAAGATATATTCATATAATGTTACTCTAACATTAAAATGTTACGTTACAGTGACATACTTTTACATGTAACCTTGAAATAGTAACATAAAAGTAACAAGTTACATTTTCCAGATGTAATATTAACATAACAATTGTTACATTATTTGTTACTTCCAGGTAACGTAACTGTTACAAAGCGTGTTTAGTGGGAAGGCATTGGGTATTGAAATGGATTTAAATTTTCAGAAGTATGCATTCGTAAACTTTGAAATGAATTTTTTTTAAATCTATTTCAATCCATTCTCGTTTAACGCGTTACGTGGAACGCACCTATGTCGTTTAGAAATATATCTACCCGAGAGAGCACCTTATCCCTACCACTTCACTCACTCCGACTTCTAGTAATCACCCGCTAGGTGTAGTTTCTAAACGCAGCCCAGGCACGGTCAGAGAGGATCCTGAGAGCGGCCATGCCCGCAATTTAGTTGGGACCGGCGATGAGCTGGTTTCAGCGCCTCTGGAAAGTGGACATTGAACTACCAACTAGAGAGACCAATGAGAACCACGCGTTGGACGGAAAGCGTGCTTCTCATTGGTCTATCTAGTTAGTAGTTCAATGTCCACTTTCCAGAGGCGCTGAAACTAGCCATCGAAGGTCCCAGCTAAATCGCAGGTATGACCGCTCTCAGGATCCTCTCTGGCACGGTAACCGGCGCGGGTCTCCCCTCTTTTCTTCTCCCCAACAACGATTGAACAAGGACAGAGAATAAGAGTGTAGCCCTCTCACTCTAGCTTCTGCCTCACCGAGAACAATAGGGCGCGCAGTCTAGCTTATAAGTCTATGGTATAAACCAATTAATTCATCTGGTATATGAGATATAAGCTTATTTGTTTTATAAAATATAAAACAATGATTTTTTTTCTTTTTACGTCGTAATTTATGTTCGTGTGTATTAATATTAACTGTAATTGAGCGTTAATTTATATATAATCTATACATTTAAATTACGTATATTTAAAATAGATATACATTGTTAAGTTTAAGATAAAATAGGAAATTATAAAATAATTGTAAAATTTTTTTAAACTATTGTCACATTTTTAAATATTTGTAATTAATAACTGTACTGTATTATTGTCACATTTTATAATAATGTTACAAATTTTTATATGTATAAAACATTTTGTTTTAATAAAATTAAATAAATTTAAATTTATTAATTATTCTTTTAATTGTAAAAAACAAAAAAATATTTTACTATTTTTCAGTGGCTATACATAACAAGGTTTGCTCGATATTTGGCATCAATTTGTCGTCAAGGTTTACTCGATATTTGACTTTAATTTGGCGTCAGGTTTTGTCACTAAGGTTCGCTCGATATTTGACGTCAATTTGGCATCATGTTTTGTCGTCAAAATTTGCTCGATATTTGGCGTCGTAGTATTACTAATTGTAAGCTTTGCTCGGTCATTAATTGACGTCAATTTGACGCCAGGTTTTGTTGCTAAGGTTTTCTCGATATTTGGCGTTAGGTTTTGACGCCAAGGTTTACTCGAAATTTGGCGTTAATTTGTCATGTTATTACCATGAAGTATGAATATATTCATGGTTATTACCAAGCTTTGCTTGGTATATGGCGTCAATTTGGCTTCAAGTTG